AATGAGCGTCATGTGATGGTGCGCGTAGGCGGAGGCTGGGAGACCTTTATAAGTTACCTGCAGAAACACGACCCCTGCAGAGGAGCAGGACCGGTCGGCAGATCTGAGGTCAGGGTCTGTAGGGACAAAGCGAAGCCGCCCAGTTTGAACATCTCATCTGACAGCTACATGGTGGTCGGTGCCCATTACCGTGGCAAGAAGTAGACTCTCAAACTGCTCACTTTTTGCTTCTGGCTCTGGGCAGCAGCGTTGAACATTTCACTTAATCAGACCAAACTGTACAAGGTTAATGATATAACATACAGCTCAAATCCCTTTTACCTCAAGTTTAAAAGGAAATTCACATTTTTTTTATTCCCAACAGTTTTGTCAGCTGATTGTTATGTGTATGAATCAACCAACTGTAACAACTTGTCAGTGAAACCACATGACTGTATATTTGCAATCATTAGTCATTGAGTAAAATTAATTCATGATTTAATCTCACATAAATGGCCAAAACATTCGCTGGTTCCAGCTCCTTCAATTTGAGGATTTACTGCTTTTCTTTGTCATACATGATAGTCAACTGAATTTGGCTATATTTGGCTTTTAGACTGTTGAATAATCTGCAGAATAATAAACAATGACAATGATTGTTAGTTGCAGCACTACTTGTTATGTAATGTTATATCATAACTTTCATATAATCATCTTGATCATCAAATATGCTTAGGTTTTGTAGTACTGTATGCAGTAATGTCATTATAGTCATACATGTGTACTGTTGTAGTTTAGTTAGTAAACATACAGCTATGTGTTTATATATAATATCACGGCACTATAGTTTAAATATGTATGTTTAAGCTTTTATATTTTGGATGTTCTAGCAGCAGTTTGAGTAGTAGTTTTAAAGATTTACGCATACTGACTTTTAATGTTTGGAGTTATTTTTCTTATTTTACTGGACAAAACTTTTCTGTTTAGAATAAATAATAAATGCTTTTTGAATTAAGAGAAAATCTTGCACATGCAGCCTGAATTGCAGCTCTTCTTTTTATAGTATATATCATAATTGGTCATTTATTTAGTATTATGTATCACACAATGAATGGAAAACAGCATTATTTCTTGTTTCTCATTTACTTTTACATTATTTGCCTGTGGCAGAGATTTTATCACCTCAGCCTTAAAAAGGCAAAGACACAAAACATCAAGTCCTCCCTCTAGATGGCACCATGTCCTAAGTGACAAAAGGCCAAGCCTCGCCTCCATGCTTGTTGGAGGAGGGTGCTGTCAACACTGCTGTTAAGATCGTGTCTCGCCTCTCTTGGACATTCATCTCTTAGTTGGACTGAAAATCTGTTTTCAGTCTCAACTCCATAAACTACCTCATGCCCACAGATACAACAGTGCAAAACACATTGCTGCCTCGTCAGCATGATCCGGATAGTCACTTATTCAATGTTTCGAATTAAAAGTGCTTAAAAAAAAACATTAATGGGAAAGATTCTCAGACAACTAAACAACGTTGGAGAGCAAAACTGTAGAATTCAGGCACAAACACAAACGCTGAAAGTCACCACACATTAGTAATTACATATTTTATTTCAGTAAAATAAATTAATTAAAAATGGACACAAGTTTTAATATATTGAAAGAAACTAACTGTAATGAGATCATGCAAGACTGTAATGTCTTTTTAGTCCCCACATAACATTTGCAGTGGATTGAACCAGTAAAAATGACTTGTAGAAAATAATAGCTGTGCTACTAAAACAAGTGCCACTCTAAATGGTGGCGTTTTCACAGGGCATCTCTCATTGCACAGAGTACATTTCTAAGTTCCTCATGAAACACAGGAAGTTGCCACTTGAGAGGGTTTTTACAACAATTTCTGTTTCTGTTGTTACACTGTGCTGACCTCATTCGTTCTGTAAAGTACATTGTTCTTAATGTTTTGTAAATCTTGCTACTGTGTGCTACTGTTCTTCTGTATTGAAACTCAATCCAATCAATGACAAAATCTTAGCTTTGAAATACAGACGTTATGTGTTGGTGTGCTTGGAATTTACTGTTTGAGATGTCGGGCGTAAATATGTGCTTTAAAGTTTTTGCTTGTAATACTTTTTTGAAAGTCCTGCACACGTGCAGTGGTGGCACATCAGTACTGGAAAAGTCTGATTTTCCCACCTATAATACACAAAAAACTTGTAAGAGTCGTGTGCAATTGTGCTTCAGTCCTAACAACACATTATACTTGCACCATGTACTTATACATTACATTAATGCTTACAGTAATACTTACATTACTGCGTATCAGTTTGGGTGTGAAATTAAAACTTTATAAAACCAAAACACCAAACAGCATTCTGTGAGTCGCAGGACATCAGAGAATTGACTCAATTTTCAGTGTAATGACCATAGATATAAATGTTTTTATATTTATGGCATGTCCTTGTTTGTTTGTGGCATAAATATTTTCACAATAAGAGCCTAGATTGACAGACCCTAAACACACAACATGGTATAAACCCAAACTCTTTGTAAGACACAACAGGGTGCTTATTACATGCTCTGATCATCTTTTGCTCCCATATGTGGCCTTGCAAACATATAATGTATAACTCCACCTGCTCAGACTTCAGGTTCACAGACTTTTATGAGACCCAGCAAAGTGCAAAGATTCAACAAGACACTGAAGATACAGTTTTCAATCATGCCTCAGTTAATTTCCTCAACTTCTGAAAAGTGGTAGCCTCATGAGGAGGTTAATGGTGATGGTGAAAGGACTGAACATCACACACAGTGTTATCAATATACATTATAACACCTTTTTTTTCTAAGAAAGTTATTTGACATAGCTGATAGAATATCTCATGACTCATCTCCTCCAATCAACATTTATAAAAACTTCATCACACATGGCTGTTATATTCTCGTCTCATGACGTTGTAGTGAGCTGAAATTTCAAAATAAATTAGTTCTAATGACTGGGGAAAGCAATTATATTTGTGTAACGGAAAACTGGCTGCTGTGTTATTATCAGTGTCACAAAGAAAATTGTTTCTCCTTTTCCACTGAACAAGCTTAAGTCCTACCTGCTACACTGTTTTCAAAACCTTTCATGTGGCACCATCCCATACTACATACTGATGTATGATGTGTACAATTTTAGTACAAAGAAATGGTACTTTACTGATTTGTACTAATGACACAATTCAAGGTGTCACATAAATCCAACTATTCCTATTCCTTGTTTTGAACTATCACGTCCAATGTTAAATCAAAAATATTCTTCAAATAATTTATTACTTAATTTCTTCTTTGTTGTTTTTTTTTTTTTAATGCAATGCATTTTAATGTCGGTACTTTAGTATGGAGTATATTTCATTTTGTAATTTTCCATGTGTGAATGCATTAAGATTAAAACACAAAATGAGCGTACAGCGTGTATTTGGAATACGGCTTTAACGTACATCTCTGCAGTCTAGAGCCTTTATAAATTACTATTTGTGCTTTCTTCGACACCAGATTTGGAGGTTTTTTTTAATCCAACAATTAAATCACAAAAGTGACTAATGAAAAATGGAATCATTCCCATGTTGCTATCCCATACTACATAATATACAATGTACCA